CTGAAATTGGGGGTTCTAAACCGAAAGGGAGCGGCAGAGAGGCCACAGAACTATTTTAGAGGGACTGCGATATTGCCACGTTTACTTCTGTGCTGCCTTCAGAGCTGGAAAGCCAGAGAGTGTCGGGTGCTGACTGAGGGCCCAGTTCTGCAAGCAGCAGCACAGAGGTAAGGATGGCAATACCATACCATATCATACCATGCCATGGCTTACTTCTATGCTGCTGCTGGCAGCAGCTCTGCCTTCAGAGCTGGGTTCCTGCCCAACAGTTGCTGCTCTCCAGCTGACCAGCTCTAAAGGCAGTGCCAGCACCAGCAGCAGTATAGAAGTAAGGGTAGTGATACCACAATCCCTCCCTAATGTAACCTTGGGCTCCTCCATCATTCCTTTTTTGGGTCAGGACCCCTACAATTACACCACCATGACATTTCCGATTTAAATAACTGAAATTATGAAATGTATGATTTTTAAAATCGTACAGCCATGAAATTGACCAAAATGAATTTGGTAGGACTCTTCTCATAGTGGTGTTGTGTGGATAAATAAATACACTTAAGGCTATATCTACACTGGCATGATTTCCGTTAAAAGCATTTGCGGAAAAGAGCATCTAGATTGGCACGGACACTTTTCTGCAAAAACACTTTTTGCGGAAAAGCGTCCGTGCCAATCTAGACACGCTTTTGCGCAAAAAAGCCCCGATCGCCATTTTAGCCATCGGGGCTTTTTTTGTGCAAAACAGTACTGTGCTGTCTACACTGGCCCTCTTGCGCAAATGATTTGCGCAAGAGGGCTTTTGCCCGAACGGGAGCAGCATAGTATTTCTGCAAGAAGCACTGATTTCAGACAGTAGGAAGTCAGTGTTCTTGCAGAAATTCAAGCGGCCAGTGTAGACAGCTGGCAAGTTTTTCCGCAAAAGCAGCTGATTTTGTGGAAAAACTTGCCAGTCTAGACACAGCCTAAAGGTTATAAACTCCTCAGATATAATGATAAAGGGTAGGCATATAAATACCTTTATACATATTGAACAACATCCTGACCAGCATAGTCACAAAAATAGTCATGGAAGCTTTCCTATGTTAGTCTGCTGTGCTGGCCAGTTCCAAAAGGGTATGTAACACTACAGAGATTTAGAGACTATTGTGATGCACAAAATCCCTGCTCAGCTGTTGCCCTTCATAAAGTTACCAGATGGCCAGTTTTCAACTGAGCACTTGGACGAAAAGGAACACTTCCTGCAATTCCACAACCCAGTGAAAATAAGTGAGCGAGTGGGGAGGGAGGCAGAGTGGCTGGCCAGTTCCAAAAGGGTATGTAACACTACAGAGATTTAGAGACTATTGTGATGCACAAAATCCCTGCTCAGCTGTTGCCCTTCATAAAGTTACCAGATGGCCAGTTTTCAACTGAGCACTTGGACGAAAAGGAACACTTCCTGCAATTCCACAACCCAGTGAAAATAAGTGAGCGAGTGGGGAGGGAGGCAGAGTGAGCAA